TCTTTTTGCACATGCAATTAAAAACAACTAGCTTGTTAAAAAGCCTGCCTAAGGAAAAGCTTGAAGTTAACCCTTTCCATGTCCCTGAAATACACAGCTTACTTGGCCTGAGACCTCAACCTTGGGCAAATTAGAACTTCAAAAAAAAAAAAAAAGGTGGGGGAGTGGGTGTCACAGAGACATTTTAAATGTCAAGCAGAAAACTATGAGATCTCTGTCTGTCTGGATTTATGTATGTCTCAGTGTGTGTCTTTTGGGGTTTTTTTTTAGTAATATTGTTGAAGTTGTAAATAAGTTCTAATTTAATTGGCCTAAAGAAAAGTAAGCACTTACAAATCAAACAGTTCTAAATACAAGAGACATTAACCTAAATGAATTTCAGATTCACATGAACTGGAAAATATTCAATATTAAATAGTATAAATGTTTGCTAATCTAATATAGACATGTCTAAGAGTTGTTAACATTAAGCATACTATTTTCATTGTGCCTAGGTTTATTATAAGTTAAATATTGTTATGTTGTTATCTCTGTTACAAATTTGTCAGCAAGGAAGGTAACTCGAGTGAATAAACTTTTAAAAAAGAAAAATATAAATGAGACAAGAGCTTTTAGTTAAACTGTTAAGAATAAGTATACTTTAGGAATGTCTGTCTAAAATAGTATCTCCAGATTGGGGTAACTTGAATTTCTAGGGTTGTGCTAAACTAAGTGATGAAAGTTTACTGAATAGCTAGGTCATTTCTAAATAAAATAAGATTCTGAAACAATTCATTACTGAACACTAACTTCCTCATACACAGAAACTAAAGAGATTTTGGACTATTAATGAATAATGTTTGATACCATCCTGAGATGTTCTATAGAATTTTTTTTTTTTTAGAAATTATCACTGGTATTTATGTTCACCAATCTATAGAATGCTAATATATATAAGGTCAATTCTTGGTTGCTTAAGGAAAGCAGGATGTGTGTTTTCAGTCAAGAAGGTGTGAGAAATGAAATTACATTTTTTGAAGGGAAAAGGAAGTAGGTCTGACTTACAGGTGGCTGTTTTAGGATGGCAGAACAAAGTAATGGGTACAGAACATGATAAGAAGGTTTTTATGGAAAGTGGACCCCAAAGGGAAGAGTTTTGTGCATAAAGACAAGTTTTCTTGAGATGCTGAACTGCCTTTGATAATGGATTTTAAGTTTCTTTACCTCTGAAGTGCTCTGTTCTATGTTTACCTTTGAAATCTTCTTTTTTACTTTGGCTAAATGAATATACTGTTTCACAGTGATCTATACGATCCTATTTGTTTGAGTGTTATAACCCTTTTGATATTTATCAACAAAATTTCTAAATAACTTGACTTCTAGCTAACTTTGGGATGCCTTAGAGGGCCCCTGAGACATCCAAAAGTGCTATTAAAATACCTGAGTTCATTTGACATGTTAAATTACATGGGACGTATTGTTGGAGGAGTGACGAATTTTCTCAGGTTGTATTGTGTGTTTGCTATTACTTATATGGATATCCTAGAAATTATGTGAAATTCATGAAAATCTGATATGTCCTGGTTAAATGTTGTCAGTTATAATTCTAGTTATCATGTTAAACTGTTACAAGTCACAGCAATGACCAGGCTACTTTGTCAATTGCAATTTAATTAGATTTTAAACATGCCTTCTATGGTTTCACTCTCATGCCTTTAGAAGAATACTGCTAGTTCTTCAAGATTTATGGAAAAGACTTTTCTAAGATTAACTAATAAATTTTGTTATCTGGTAAACTGGTAACAGACTGGAATTTAGTCTATTCTCTGTTAAGAGAACAAAGTTTTCTTAGAATGAAGGTTTCAATAACAGATTATGAACTTCTTTGCATTTAAGTGATTTATATTTGTTTTTAAAACCTTTTGTTACTTTGCTAAACTAAGTAAACATTATTTCAGTTTATGGTATGTGTAGGCAAAGCTCATTCTGCTTCTACAAAAATAAGCCCTCACTGTTAGACCTTTGCTATCCTGATGTCCTTAAACAGGCAACAATCTATTCCTAAATCAGGGAATTAAAAATGCGTGAACAATAGCTGAAAATCAGAGAGTCAGCGCTATGAGAAATCCAAGACAGCCACATGGCTTTTCTTGGCTCCCTGACAAACCTCATTTTTATTGGATGGGTTAAAGCCTTCCCTGGCTACAGGGTTAATGCCCTCATAGTGAAAATATCATGTTTCATTGAATATTAAGTTTTGTTAATTGTTAAACTAAGTTTCTAGTTTTGTTAATTAAGATCTGCTGCTGCTGCTAAGTCGCTTCAGTCGTGTCCAACTCTGTGCGACCCCATAGATGGCAGCCCACCAGGCTCCGCCATCCCTGGGATTCTCCAGGCAAGAACACTGGAGTGGGTTGCCATTTCCTTCTCCAGTGCATGAAAAGTGAAAGTGAAGTCGCTAGTCATGTCCGACTCTTGGCGACCCCATGGACTGCAGCCTACCAGGCTCCTTCGTCCATGGGATTTTCCAGGCAAGAGTACTGGAGTGGGTTGCCATGGCCTTCTCCGAATTAAGGTCTAGTGTTTACTAAGACTCACTTCTGAGGTAGTTCCTTGTTGTTATGTTATATTGCTAAAAGGTTTAATTAAGTTATTTAAAAAGACACTCTAAGTTTGTTTCTAAAGCTTATCTCAATAACCAGTCTTCAGATAAAGATCAGACACTCCATGATGTACAACCAGGAGATTAACATCAGGCTATAAGTCACTTAACAAATGAAGTCAGATGACCTGGGGTATACTGGGCTATACCTAATGAAAGTTCTTGACTTAAATTCTTGCTTGTACCTTATTAATAACTGCAAGCTATATTACTTTCTATGTCACTTGTTTCAGAAGATTGTTTTTTATGTTACCAAATGTGTAACTGAGCGTGTGATAAAATGCTGATATGTAGTTCCATATGAGATCAGTGATTGTAACAAAGTAACTCCAGATACGGGAAGAGGCAACAAGAGGGAATATTTTCCTGGACCAAGAGGCTAGTAAGACAGGTATGGTCCAGAGACTGGCTACTCACAAGGCCTGGTCTAGTAACAGCACATTGAGTGGCCTGTCAATGGAATCTTTGTTAGACCTGGGAAAGAGCCTTCCCAGGACCGCAGGGCACAATGGCCATGAAATGCCCCTAAAGCATGGTCAAATATGTGGTTATGAAGGGACCCTGCTGACTGGAAGTTGTCACTTGCCAGCTGCCTCTACAAAGATTACTTCATGACCACTGCAAGCTGCTGACCTTCAACATCCCCTGAAAGGAGTTCAGGGTGGAGATCAGAAATAAGGCACTCTGTGCTCTGGATAAAACCCACAAGAACCGGCCTTCAGATAGTTAGATGTTTTCAGGTAAAGATTTTATGAGCCCAAATCCTTGCGTCTTCTCATACCTAGAGAAACATTAATGTCACGAACCAGTGCCTGGTCCTGGTTCTCCTGGCTAGCCCTTGAGCAGCTTTTCTGCTTCTATTAATCTTTGGGCCGCGTACCTCTAACTTTCTTGTTAGGTTTGTTTCTTCTAAAATACAACAAATCTCCCAGTGGTAGTATGACAAGAATATTCCCTGACCAACACCTAGACAATGCTGAAACAAGTCACCTTATCATTCCATGGACTCTCTTCTCCCTCTGTAAATGCATCCTGACAGAGAGCAGGCAAAGGGAACCCAGAGCCCTATGACACCCCTGTACAGCCTGAAGAAGTCAGAGTGGTCATCGCCCCTTTTCTTTTGAGACTGCCTGAGAAGGGAAATAGGTAGATAGTTAGACATGAGCAGGGTATCAAAGGGGCCAAAGAATTGGCCCGAAAAACAGAGAGAGAGGAACGTGGTGACCCAAGGACAAAAGAGCAGATAAAACCAAGGAGGGTCTTAGAATGCAGGAACTGAAGAACCAGACCTTAGCATCCTTCCCTCCCCCATGTTGTAACTATAGTGGAACAGTATAACCTGTCTCCCCTCCTACCCCATAGGGAGGAGGTTTCTGCTCTCCTCTTCCCCACCCCATATACATGCCTCATCCCATCAGCACATGACCCACAAGACCCCTGTCCCACTCCTTGTACCCTGGGTATAAAAGTGGACTAAGGACCCCGGGTCAACTTCCGTTCTCCCTTGAGCTGGCCCACTGTTCTAACAACGTTTCCCACTCTAATAATCTTTATTTCCCTCTCATTCTGTCTCATATCTGGAAATTCTTTTCCAACCCATACCCGGACCATGACAACCTAGAAGCTGAAAGAGAAGCTAAGAGGAGCCACTGATTCTGCCTTTAGTGTTCACTCAGGCACAGTGATTGCAAAGAGACACCTGCTGGCTGGATTGGCCCTCTAATAAGTTATATTTTGGCCATACTGTGCTTTCAAATCTAGAATTAGTTACCAACATTTAAAACTTTAGTTGCCCATAGGGGCTTCCCTGGTGACTCAGATGGTAAAGAACCTGCCTGCCAATGCAGGAGACCCAGGTTTAATCCCTGGTCTGGGAAGATCCCCTAGAGAAGGAAATGGCAACCCACTCCAGTACTTTTGCCTTGGAAATCCCATGGACAGAGGAACCTGGCAGGCTACAGCCTATGGGGACATGACTTAGTGACTAAACAACAAAAAAGTTGCCCATGGAGTCTGGATGTCTAGCCTGCATTCTCAGAAGGCAGCAGTTCACTGGAACTCACAGGGCTGTGGGCAGGCTGGTACTCGCTAGGCTCCACAGTCCTCACCCTATCCTCCCATTACATTCCTCAGATACCCGCCTTCCTCTAGCGCAGGCTAAGAAGTCTGTTAGCTCAGGAGCAGTCTAGGCCAACCCGCTGACGGAGCACATTGAGACTGGAGGCCACAGTCCAGGCTCAACACCACGGGCTTCTTTGCTTGGTTTGGTCCCTGGGGCAGTGGGCAGGGGAGATGGCAGCCACCACAGGTGCCTGGGATCCTGGCCTCATCCTCCATAGAGATGCAACCAAATGCTCACCCGCATAAACTCCACACTGTTGTCCAAGGGGGTTTCCTGGCGAAAGAGCAGAAGAAAGTTTTCATCCTCAGATAAGAACATGCCGGCAAGCTAAAGAAAAGGGGAGAAATAGCAGTTGTTGACATTGACCAGTGGCACAGAGCAACATATTAGAGGGCAGAAGGGCTTAGAACTCTCAGGATGGTGAGCTCAGCATGCAGTCCTGTGCCCTCAATCGTCATTTTGGATTCATTGATTCTTTCAAGAAGTATTGGGCACTCTTACTAGATATGAAACACTAAGAGTATCTGTTTTCTATGAGCTTACAATCCAAAATCATCATCATTATTTAATAATAAATGTGTTAGTGTTTAAAATGTTCCACACTTTGTCTTAGAAGCTCCAGTGTTAACAGCTACACATATTATAAACGAAGAATACCAAATAACTTTTTTAGAATTAACAATCACTAATGTTTATTGAGCATTTACTGCAAGCCAGGCACTGTGCTAAGTAAACTGGCATTTTTCTTTAATTTATTTTTGGTTGCTGGGTCTTCATTGCTGTGCAGGCTTTCTCTATTTGCAGTGAGCTGGGGAACTACTCTTCCTGGCAATGTGCAGGCTCATTGGAGGGGCTTCTCTTGTTGTAAAGCACGGGTTGTAAACACGAGGGCTTCAGTAGTTTAGGTGCACAGGCTCAATTGCCCCATGGCACGTGGGATCTTCCTGTGTCCCTTGAATTGGCAGACAGATTCTTAACCGCTAGACCACCAGGGTTTGGTTTGGTTTTGTTTTTTAATATATATATATATATATATATATATATATATTCTTTATTTGGCTGTGCTGGGTCTTAGTTTTGGCACTCAAGATCTCTCTGCATTGTGGCATGCAAACTGTTAGTAGCAGCATGTGAAATCTAGGCCCCCTGCACGAGGGGTGTGAGGTCTTAGCCACTGGACTTCCAGGGAAGTACCCCAAATAATTTTGATATGTCCTATGAATTTTTCCATGAGCTTTCCTCATGGCTCAGACAGCAAAAAATCCACCTGCCAATGCAACCCAGGTTCCATCCCCTGGAGAAGGGAATGGCAACCTACTCCAGTATTCTTGCCTGGAGAATTCTATGAAGAGAGAACCCTGGTGAGCTGCAGTCCATGGGGTCGCACAGAGTCAGACACGACTGAATGGCTAACACACACACATGAATTGTTCTAAATGCTTACAAATGCTGACTCATTTAATCCTAACAATTTATAGGGTGCATGAGACATCATTATTATTTATTAGTTAAGGAAACCAGGCTGCACAGAGACAAGGGACATGCCATAATTATGTAGTGAGTGGCAGTGTCAGAACTTTAAGAAAGTGAAGTCGCTCAGTTGTGTCTGACTCTTTGTGACCCCATGGAGTCTAGCCTACCAGGCTCCTCCATCCATGGGATTTTCCAGGCAAGAATACTGGAGCGGGTTGCCATTTCCTTCTCCAGGAGATCTTCCCAACCCAGGGACTGACCCCCAGTCCTCTGCATTGTAGGCAGACACTTTACCATCTGAGCCACCAGGGAAGTCTGTGCTGGAGAGATGCGGTGTATCCAGATGACTTTGGAGCCCCATGGAAAAGCAGGAATGATTGCTACCTGACTTGGTTCTTGAGTGTAGGCTAAGGTTTATACTCTTTTATATTATAAGTGTCTGTACGATACTTCAAAAGTCGGTTCACTTGTGATAAATTTAACCATGTAACTGTATATATGAACACCAGCTCTATTGATTTACTTCCCTTACTCCCATGAACATAGGTAACATTATCTCCCATAGTGTGATTGGAACACTTGTTTCAGCACATGAGCATGTGTGACTGGGTTCTTTGCCAAATCTAGGATATCTGACTGGGCTTTCCATGTGGCACTAGTGGTAAAGAACCCGCCTGCCAGTGCTGGAGAATTGAAAGACACAGGTTCGATCCTTGGGTTGGGAAGATCCCCTGGGGAAGGAAATGGCAACCCACTCCAGTATTCTTGCCTGGAGAATCTCATGGACAGAGGAGTTTGGTGGGCTACAGTCCATGGGGTTGCAGTATTAGAGGGTGTTTGAGTGTGTTTTGAGTTCTCAGTTCTCCCTCATAAACCACAGCCATTCATTCTATAATCGTTGTTCTCTCGGCACCTTGTATAATGCCACAGAGTGACTCCAGAGCAAATACTTCAGATGGGTTGTAGGAATAATTATATTCTATATATAGAATTATATTCTATATATATATATATTATATATATATTCTTATATATATTCTCTAGTTGAATGTAAGTCAGTTGAAGGATATATCATGTGAACAACAGCTGTCATATATTGAGTACCTCCTACCTGGAAGGCACTGGTGATGTGTTTTTCATTTATCATCTCATTAAATTCTCATGCCAGTCCTTCAGGTAAATAGGAATATCCCCCATTTTACTAATGGGAGACAGCACAGTGCAGGATGTGGTAGGCTTTCATGTGGATCCAAATTCTTTCTCTGTCCTCACCTATTATTTGATCTTGGACAATTTAATTGATGCCTCTGTGCCCCAATTTCCTCATTTGTAAAATGTTCAGTTTTTTTGTAATTGTTTAGTTGCTCAGTTGTGTCCAACTCTTTGTGACCCCATGGACTGCAGCACGCCAGGCTTCCCTGTCCTTCACTGTCTCCGGAGTTTGCTCAAACTCATGTCCATTGAATTGGTGATGCCATCTAGCCACCTCATAGGATATAATATTTATATCCTGGTGTTTATGTGAAGACTGAGAGTAAGATGAGGCACTATTTATGAACTGTTTAACAGAGTCCCTGGTACCTATTAAAAATTTAGTCAATGGTAACTGCACTGTGGATGTAGATGATGAACTTGAGGCTCACAGAAATGAAGTCACTGGCCCAAGGTTTCATATTTCACCATGTTGACTTTGTGCTGTTCCTACCCACCCACACAAGATCAACTGGAACTGAGAACTGCTCTTTAGGACTAAGTGTTTTTTCATATGGAGTGGCACAGGCTGAGAAACCAAATTAAAATGTAATTCACTGGCCCTAATTAGAACCCTCTCTGTCTTCAATTTGTCTGGAATGGCACAGAGGAGCCCTGAGCAAGTCAAGTACATAGATCATCCTCCTGCCTCACTTTGGCTCTCACTTATGACTCCTTTCTCATTTTATTTTGTGCTAAAATATTGAAAATATGTGCGTGAATGCTCATTAGTATCAGACTCTTTGTGAGCCCATGGACTGTAGCCCACCAGGCTCCTCTGTCTATGGAATTCTCCTGGAGTAAGAAGTGGCAACCTGCTCCAGTGTTCTTGCCTGTAAAATTGCATGGAGAGAGGAACCTAGAGGGCAAGAATACTGCAGTGGGTTGCCATTTCCTTCTCCGGGGAATCTTCCTGACCCAGGGATTGAACTCAGATCTCCTGCATTGTCAGGGAGATTCTTTACCTCCTTTAGCTTACTTACTTTCAACGCTGCTACCAGAAAAGCTGCATTCTGTTTCATATCTCCATCTGCTATCATTGTTCTCTGTTGTTGAATAGTTTAAAAACAACATCTACTGATTAAGGATTCATTTCAGATACACCATCTAATTTCTATAATTTTTTTAATCTCTGGGGCACTTTGCCAGATGGAGATCATATTTATCATCTGTATTCCCAAGGGCTTTGGAGTCTTTATCTGTGTAATGCTTATAAGCTTGATAAATCCTCTCTAGAAACTCTGATGGATCCTCAGTTTTGTCTCCTGAATCTTGTTAAGGCTCTTTTGTCTAGGTACCCCACTGGGTTTTCTCTCAGATCTTCATATCATAAGATGGTAGTCCTCTGACTCCTTTTTCTCGTGATGCAATAGTATAAACGCTTCTATATATGGAACCTCATCTTTTTTTCCCTGCTCTTTTCCTCTGTTCATGGAATTCTCCATGCAAGAATACTGGAGTGGGTAGTCATTCCCTTCTCCAGGGGATCTACCTGACCCAGGGATCAAACCCAGGTCTCCTGCATTGTGGGCAGATTCTTTACCATCTGAGCCACGAGGAAAGCCCAAAATGTGTACTGATGGGCTGATTTTTATGTCACAACTACCTGTAACTGAAGTAACCATAATAGTCAATGAAAAAGCCGGAGGCAGTAGGAGAGACCTTGCTACAACTCTTAATACTCACAGACTCAGGAGTTTTTAAGGGGCTTTGGGACCAGAATAGTCCTATACTATCAGCTTCTCTACAAATAGTATTAATTATGCCTGTTAGCAGGACCCCATGATAGAATGATTAGCATGGGTGTCACAGTTGTTGCCGGGCTCCCAGTTGCTTTAGGAATTGGTAAGAAAGATAATGGCAAAGTTTTTCACTATTTGCCATGTTTCATTCATTTATTATTAACAAATATTTGGGGCTTCCCAGGTGGTGCAGTGGTAAAGAATCCACCAGCTAATGCAAAAGGTGCCAGAGACAAGGGTTCGATCCCTGGCTTGGGGAGATCTCCTGGATTAACAAGTAGCAACCTGCTTCAATGTTCTTGGCCTGGAAAAGACCATGGACAGAGGAACCTGGAAGGCTGCAGTTCATGGGGTCAAAAAGAGGGGGACATGACTGAGCAACTGACCAGGCATGCCCACATAACCAGGCAGCACCCCTATGCACTGTGCTCTGTTCTGTGGGCAGAAGGATGCAACCATGAACATGTCATTATGCACACTTTGGTATTTTTACCTGAAACTTGCAATTATATTTCCATTAATGAATACATTGCTACTTTTACACCAATTGCAATGAAATTATTGGTTATATAATTTTTTTGCCTTTTAGTGAAAATTTTGGAAACAACCACAATCATAAATATCCAGTTTAGCTTATTTGTTTTGAGAAGGCAGCCATCTAGTGAACATGTCTATTTTTTATAAGAAGACATTATCTTGCTTTATTATCATAACTTTCTGAAGAAAAATTACTATTTTCATTGATAATATTGACCAAGTATAACAGCATCAAGAGACTAGCTCTTCAGATTTCAGATAATATGTCTAGCAGGCAATTTTGACTATGAAATAAATATCTTATTTTTATGTATGGATTTGTAACTCTATAGAATAAACCTGTATAGATTCATACCTATAACTTAAACCAGTGCCACTTCTTGGCTATATGATGCTGGATAACTCAGTTTCCTCATCAGTAAAAAAGGGATAATGTTTGATGACCATTTTTGTGGCTACTGTTACAAAATGTAGTATACAATGTACAATACAATAATATACAATACAATATGTTACTCTAGAGTAACATAATATGTGTGGAAATTCTAAACTGTGAATCTTTTTGTAACTTGAAGGGAAAATAATCAGGTTAAAAGACAGGCTATGTGAGGCACTGTGTGCTTAATGTGGTTCCTTGCTTTAGTAGGTACTTAGTGTGGGTTGAGTTGAAGTCAAGACAACAGCTGTCTGTTTTGTTTTCATGATGTTCAGGGGTAGATCTTTCCAGTCTCCCCTGGAAGCTGATGCTGAAATTTAAACTCATTTACTGTCAGTAAGTTTTTCCTTATGTCAAAGTTGAATTTGAACAGGACACTGTGTAAAGAGACAAATATTAGATCAAGTAACTGAAAAACCTCCAGCATATCAATTACTCAATTATAAAATAAGTATAAATATTGATTGACCTAAATAAAATGATCTTCTTGTCACTAAGATTGATGAAAAAGGAAAAATGAGTACTTCAAAAGTGTTATCCAACCCACTGCCTTGCAGAGGGTTCTAATTTCCCAATCAAATATAAAACTTTCTTTATCCTGCAGAGAAAATTGAAGCCCAAGAAGGTATCATCAAGAAAGGTACAGTCATAAAAGATACCTCTTTCATCCATATGCAACCATCTTTAGGGACATCTTGGGCAGCCATAAATTGTTTCATCTTCTGTGCATTTTCTTCTTTGACCACATCCTACAGTGGGCCAAATAAAACCACATTAAAGCCACTGGGATTCCAAGAATGTAGTTAGAATATCAAATATTCAGAGTTACAGCCTGATAATTACATTAGTCTAACCAAGTTACCTAATCATTGAAAGAGATCTCATGAATTGCAGACAAGAGAGAGGTGATGGAGACTTCTTAAATAACCACGAATCAGAATCCTAACTAGGTAGCACAGCTAGTGAGATCCTCAGACATGAATGAAGAGAAACTTTGAGTGTTGACAGAATACATTTGAACATTTTTCTCTATTTTTTGTGACAAGAGACTGTATTGTAATGAACATACAAACTTTCTTCCCAAGAACATTTTGTTCTGTGTTTAAGTGAAAATTCCAGCTCTTTTGGGCCTTCCATTTGCCATAGTTTATTCTCTTAATCTTGGACTCTCAAAAAAAAAATTAGAAGGGGAAAATAATTAAAGAAGAAACTAAAGAAATAAAGTGATCATTGAACTACCAGAGATGTGACATATCCCTTCCTTGTACAGCTTTTTCCACACATTGTTACTTTTCATCAGTGGACTGCAGGGTTATTACAAAGAGAGATGACATGTATAATCAACAGTGGAGGATGAATTTCGGTGCAGAGGCTGGGAGTCTCAGACACTCCCAAACAGTGCCAGATTTCTAGACTCCAGACTAGATCAGTTACACTAAATTGACTCTCCCTAATACTGTCACACTATTCCTGTCAACTAGTTTCCTCATCTGACACTCCTCTAAGTACAGAGAGATTAGTCTCTTTAGTCTTGGCACCATAGATTGTGTGGTTGGTTTGTTGTATGGGTGTGTATGTATATGCATCGTACAGAGAAATCATTTAAGAAGGTGAGTCTTCAGTTTGAATTTCAGATTGGTCTTCTACCTTTAGTTTGAAGGAACAGAACTTGACTTGTCCTCTCAGACCTCTAACCCCAAAGTCCATGACTATCCCTTGAACCTAAAGCAAGAGAATCTAGGGTTCCCTCTGTTGTTATGTCCAATCAGCACCCACCACACTCACCTTCTCTGAGACTCTTAAGTCCCAAGAGGGTACTTAGCATCTCTGGAGCATTGAAAGGGTCTCAGCATGTGTTGCAATCTGTACATGAAGAATGTGCACACAGCCCCCAGAAGTGATGCTCTGCAACAGACTAGCTAGATCTAGACCTAGTTCAGAGGCAGTTCTGAGCATTTGAAAAGAAAAAAAGTTGGAGGGGCTAGTGGGGTGGGTATAATGAGTAACAAACAACAGCAAGAGTGACTGATGTTTCCATGAAGTCAGTCCCCTCAGAAGCTGTGAGGAGCAGGTCATTACAAGTTGCTTATTCTCCAAGATTGACTTGCACACAGCTTGCTGTTAAGAAATCTTTAAATTCCTTCTCCCAAGGTCTGTGTGACTCACTAATCAAGGGAGGAAAGTAGCCCTAGTCAGGCATCTGATGAACTGCCTGCCAATGTCTAAACCTCAGAATGTGCGGCTGCCTGGTTATGGAGGCCTCCCTGTTGGTGGTTCTGGACTCACTGGGGCATCACTGATTAGAAGTAGGTGTCACACATGGTGATTCCCTCAGCTGAGAGGAACACACCCTCTTGTTAAGGATGTACTTAGGGCCTACTCATTTCTCAGCAGGAAAAAAGTCCAGAATTAGGAACAATTTCCTGAATCATGGTTGGTCCAGTAGCATGGAGTGTCCAGTGAAGGTCTCTGTAGCCATATTCCCTGGGGGGATGCCTCTGCATTTTGAAAGGCAACAATGGCAGATGACAGCATTTCTAACTAACAGCTTATCCCCTGGCCCCAAAAGCCCTCTCCTTTGCCAGGAGCTGAGGACAGGTGCCTGGGGCTACAGCCACAGCTCAGCAGGACTGGCCTGATTAGGTCACAGCCCCCTCTCTGACAGGTAATCACTACCCCTAAAGGGAACAGAGGGTGAAAGGGGATGCAGAGTGACTTAGGATACTTTTAAATGCAAAATCCCAAGCAGACCCTGAGTGTACTGAAATACCTAAGAGGTGGGACCCGGGGCTTTGCATATTAACAAATAAATGTAATTCTTAAGCACATCAGAATTTTATTTCCACTAGCCTAAGGACTCTGCAACCTCCAGCCCCTCCGCCTCTGGCTTCAGGAACGCCTGCGCGGCACACAGTTGCCCAGGACACTGGCAAGTCACTTGTTGTTTCCTTTGCTCTGAGGACCATGCCTGTCCATGTGTGAGAAAGTGAGGCCCTGGACCAGATCTGAGGCAGGCATGAGGTAAGAACCGCCAAGCTATGGGAGATGGCATCTGTCTTCTCCCTCACTAATGGGAACAGTACTTATAAAGCCAGCCAAAGCCCCAGAAGAAGACAGCCATGTCCTCAGCCTAGAGCAGATCCTAGTGTTTGAGTAGTCCTACCTCTCACCTCGTGACTGAAAATAAGGCACTTTCAATTTCAGTACTGAGAGTATTTAGTTTCAGTTTTCAGTATTCAGCAAAGAGAGCAACTTTCCTCTTCCTTAAATCACTAAAGCAAGAAGCTTTCTGAAAGGGTGTGACTTGGGGGGCACTCTCCATCCCCCTTCTGATGTCTATGTCAGAAGCTTTCTCTGTTTTCTTACTTTAGTAAAACTCTGCTACACAAAAGCCCTTGAGTGATCAAGCCCGGTCCCTGGTCTCAAAGCTAAATCTTCGGCGATCACAAATCTGACATTGTTCACTGTAAGCTGTCATCTTGGGGGCTCGTCCAGGATCTTTAGGACAAGGTAAGAACACTTGGAGCTCTAGCCTCTCTGCTTTCTCAGTATACACGTTTTCTGCTTTACTTGACTAACTCTTCAGTGTGCTTGTGCAAATGAATGACACGCCCTGAGTGAATCAAGGAATGAGCCCCGCTCTGTGGTTTTGCAGTGTCTTGTAATGACTGAAGGCAGCCCCAAAAAGGGGAATCTTGTCGGGGGTTTATACCGACCTGCCAGTGCCAAGAGACACCCAAGGTCCCTGCGAGGGGAGCAACCAAAAATGGGCAAAGCATGTGGACTGAACTTTCTTTTTTCGGTCAGCTTTTCTTGGTCTCTTCGGTCATTGCATAATTGCGTGGGAAATTAGAACTATTAACCTAATCTGTTGGGTCATAGACTTTCAAGAGACTTGTGATCCATGCTGTTATTATTTGCTTTTACTTTGACCCCGTGTATGGAAGCGCTTACCCTTGCTAGACTAGGCAAGCCTTGCTAGAAAGTTACAAGAGCACATTTAGGAGCGAGGTGGAGCTCTAACTCCAGGAATGTCTCTCAGGCTAGAGGGTCACTCTCTTGGCTGCCTGCCTCAGGGGCCAGAGTCCTAAAAGTAAGTCTTTGTCATGGCTGTGCCTCTGATCTATGTGGGTAGAAGCATTGCTGGTGACCATAAGGTTTTGAAGACACAGATCAGGAATTGCAAGACCTGGTCAGCTTAGAAGTACAGTGGGCCGCTTCCTTTGGTAGCACTAGCTCTAAGCAGGCCAGAGAAAGCTCTCCAGTAGCTTGTGTCTCAACTCCCTAGATATTCCTTTTGTGGAATCTGTGGGAATGAACTGGAAGGATTGGCCCCAGTAGCGTGAGGACAGAATCACTTTTTCCTCAGTGGCCGACCCTCCACTGCCTCTTGCTATCACATATACTGGTGTGGCAACACTCAGAAGAGACATCTTGGGTTTTTTGTTCATCTCCTTATAACTCAGTGCTTCTATTGCAGTTAGGACTGTACTCAGAAATGTGCACAGGCACTGGAAGATGGATGCTCCCCCTAGTAGTCCTAGCTTGGGAAACATTCTGGGAAAGCGACTCTGCTCCACCCCGGGTGGCATCAGAGGAGGAGTGAAAACCAGACAAAGGTCCTAATGGTGAGGAGCTGGACATCAGTCTGGGGTGCCATCGGGTCTACCCCTGGGGCATCTCCACGCTACCTTGGTGGGAGAATCGGAAAGGATGAGTAAGATGCCTGTGTTGGTAAGGTACAGACTAAGTCTGACCAGGGAAGGAAAGCTTTGGTAGAGAATCTGTCTGCATCCCCACCTAGAGCAAGGAAGGACGCTTCCGGTGGAAAAAAGCCACGGCTATGAATACCGCTTTTTTTCTCTCTTACAGATGGGAGCTGGCAGTTCCAAAACCACTGCTTTAAAATGTATTTTTTATTTTAAATGCTGGTACAAGTTTGATCCCCAGGGTTTAAAAAGTCATGTCTAATCTTCTTCTGTGATACTGAATGGCCACAGTATTCTTTGGAAGACGGGGAATGCTGACCTGTTGAAAGATCTCAGTTATTACTGTTCTACAGTTAGACTGGTTCTGTAGAAAATAAGGGCAGTGCCTTATGTGTTGTTCTTTTATCTCTCTGCAAGACATGCCAGACCTGTGTCCTATGGGTACAGATTTGGGTGTGAAACCTTCAGACCCCTCCTGTTCTCTTACTTTGCCCCTTTATCTGGGGCTCCCAACTGAGCATGCTGAGAATCATGAAACCCTTCTAGGAGGGGTTGCCTCAGTCTCAGTAGAATTTCAAACGGTCCCAATTGTGGTTGAGACTATTTAGAGGATCCAAAAAGTACATAGAGACTTTACAGGACTAACTTTACTTTATGACCTTACTTGGTGAGACGTAATATATGTCTTGGGACAGACTCCTGACTCAAAAACTTGAGTTTTGGGGGAAGCTACTACTTTTGGAAAAGGCAGAGGAACTAAAGATCAAATTGCTGACATCCGCTGGATCATCAAAAAAGCAAGAGAGTTCCAAAAAAACATCTATTTCTGCTTTATTGACTATGCCAAAGCCTTTGACTGTGTGGATCACAATAAACTGTGGAAAATTCTGAAAGAGATGGGAATACCAGACCACCTGACCTACCTCTTGTGAAACTTATATGCAGGTCAGGAAGCAACAGTTGGAACTGGACATGGAACAACAGACTGGTTCCAAACAGGAAAAGGAGTACATCAAGGCTGTATATTGTCACCCTGCTTG